TCTATTTTGGTGCCTATAAATTGCAAAATTGAAATACTTTCAACAAAACTGGTTTTCCTAATATTTTAAATACATATTTCAATGATCTTCAAACCTTTCTTAATTTTTGTTTAAATTCAATACTTAATTTAAGGACCTGCTCTTACTATTATAAAATTTATGCAATATCCTTCATTTTCTGTTGTTTTTAAGATTTTCAATTAAATATTTGATGGTAAACTTTTGTATACATAGTATAACAATTAATAAACATCGTAACATTGTTGGTGTGCTTTAGAACATTCTTTAGAAAGCTGTTTTTCCACATCTTTTAGAAAGATTAGTGATTGAATGTGAAATTTTTAAATTATATCTTAAACCCCATTTTGGATTTAATTTAAAAATTTAAAATCCTTTATGCTATATAATTATATACCTTTAAGATTAAAGTGAAAGTTAAATTTACTCAAAACTATATTTTGTGACTTACAACAATAATTTATTTAAGCGGCGTTATACATGTTTTCATTACACAATATTAGGGCATACAATCATATATGATCAAATAAAATTAATTTTTTTTTTAATAAACAACTTATGGTTCGAGAAACGAATAAATTTATCGTTTTTCCATTCAACACTAAGATATTGTAAAATATTTAAAAAATTTTGCAGATTGAGGTAGAACTTTTTTATTACATTGAAATTACATAAACTATAAAGAGCAATTTATTAAATCATTGACCCGATTATATTATTTTAGTATCAATATTATATTTATACCAAATGGATGCAATTGGTTAGGGCTCTGTAGCAAAATGAGCATTCCGTCAAATCTATATATACAATATGAGCACACGTGAAATATAATTTCAATAATTTAAATAGATTATATCTAATTTCCAACGCCTGTTTGTATGCTTATTACTTTGAAGTTTCTCTCATTTTGTGGCTAGAGGTAATAAACGGTCATAGAACTTAGGTCAAGAGAAGTCAATTATATTATACATACATATATAGTTTATTTAAATTCGGTTAATGAAAATATGCATAAAATTAAAAAAAAGGCAAGAATTTTTTCAAAAATTTAATCTAAATTGAGCTTAAATTTACTTGTTTTTTTTTGTAAATATAGCTTTAAAACCCTAAACCTTTGACGTCTGAAATGTATTTTTAATTGCAAGTAAAATTTTTTCAATCCTTAACATCTGCCAAGAAGGTAAAGTTATAAGAATTATTATGTCGACGGAATACACAAAAATTCATTAATGTTTCATCATTTTGTATGTCGAATTATAAAAATTCTCAATTCTTCGACAAAATTTTGCGGTTTAATTTTCAGAAACGACTATAGTACGAATGGAATTGTGAATTTGTTATATTAGCCTTCGTGTTATATGGCATTTTTATAAATATAAAAATTGTAAAAATAACATTGAATATTGAAGATAGCCAACCAAAAAAGCCCTTTAATTCAGTCCTTAATTTTTTTTTTTGATTTTTTCGTTTTTGCTTTTGTTCGTTCTTTTTCTTATTTAACTTCCTGTATATCCTTTTATTTGTTCATTAAAAAGTTCCAATATTTTTTTTTACTCTCCATTCTACTCTGAATTCTCCAATTCATTATCTTAGATTGGATCATGGATATATAATTAGAAGTTTATCCTTGATTGTATAGTTTTTCTTTCTCTCTTTTGTAATATAGAAGTGTATATGAATGGAAAAGAACAATTTAAAATAAGTTTGGAATGAAAAGCTCAAGGATATTGATAGTAGATATTTTTTTCCCCACTTAGAAAAACGATATTACCATATTCTATATTACGGATAATGAAAAACAAAAATGTTTTTGTTCGTTTTGAATAATTCTTTGTTCTGTAGAGCAGGTACAGATCAGTACCAATCACTTAAAATTGATTTACATATAGACACTCTATACTTTAATTGTAATTGTATAAGTGGATGCTATTGTAGATATAAAAAAAAATATTTTGCTGCAAATATAGATTTTTTACTTTCTTAATTAATTTGCATGCTTTCTTTGTTGAATGTTGTACTTGTCAGTTGTAATTATGTAAGTAAAAAGAAAATTTCTTAAAGATATTTTTTCAAGTTCTTTTTAAGAATATTCAAAGAAACCAAAGAAGAAAGGGAAGTTTTTAAAATCTGTCCTTTAATTGAAATTTATAATTAATTTGATTGCAACTCCTTTAATTGATAAAAATTTCTAAATTTGCATAGACCTTTTGAATCCTTAGTAGAATAAGAAGATATTTTATACAATTTTCAAAGTGCTGAAGAGGCACATAAAAATTGAGGTAGACTGTGATTATATTAGATTATGCATACTCCTAGTTTTATGCCATTATTTCCTTGTGGTGTGGCCAATAATGTGCTTGGAATTTGACTGAATATTTTCTAATTAATTGCAATTGTTTTATACAAAAAAAAAAATTATTATTGAAAAAATAAGGATTGAATATAAATTAAATATTAATTATTTATTTTTAATTTAGATCAGATTAATTTTCTTTATTTTCATATTAAAGTGCAAAGAGCTGGCAAAATCAAAAAGGAAACTTGAAAAAAAGAAAATCATTTTGATAACAAACATAAAAATTCGTTATGAATTTCAAAAAAAAAATTTATTTTTCTCGAATTTTTTAATAATGGTTTTGAAAAATTAATAACCATTGTCTGCAGTTATTTTTTATGTTCTATATGAATTCGCCAATCGGAAATTCATTTCCCGGTCAGGTACATTGATAAATAATTAATAAAAAAACAAGAATAAAATCATACAAAAGCTTAGAAAATTATTTGAAAAAGCAAAACCATATGAATTAAAAATTGAACATAAAATATTAAACATTTGTAATTGGGAGCGGTTTAGAAAGATAATCCATTGTAATATCCGAAATCATTATACATTTCACATCATTTTTTGAACAACGAAAATCATTATAATTCCAGTCAAATCACTCAACCACTTACATTTTATTTTTAAATATTTTTAGTGTTTTAAACACCAGTTTTATAGTGTTAACTATAATGTCTAGCTTAAAAATATAGTTCGACAATCCAATTTTTGAATGGCAGATGGAAAATATTTTTGTTTAAATTGGGCGCTGTCTACGGGGTATCAATCTTAATTTTGAAGTAAAAGTACGAAATAAAGCCAAAGTCAAAATATTTCGATGCTACTTTAACTGGAAAAGTAAAACGTACAAGCAATGAAAAAGAGAACATAACAATAATTATTCTGACTTTAAATATTAAAAAAGTTGCCGTATATTATGAGAAAACAAATTTCACCATATTAGAACGAGGGTAGAAATTCTAATATTTTTGTATACAAATTTTAATGTGATTCTTTTTTCTACTTTAATTGTAATTAAATATTACATATATTAGGGACCTGATACTGCGGCCTCATAAGTCTGTAAAATATGACATTATCGAGAGAACTACGCAATGTAGTTACCATGTTTCCAATTATGATCACGTTCTATCTCATAAGCTTCGTATTCATGAAATTACAAGTTTTGAATGTCTAAAAATATAAGAAATTAGAGAGAGAAACAAAAAAAAAATTTTGTTGAGAAAATTTCAAAATAATCATGACAATAACATGATTCATCACCTTTTTTACTTCATCGAACAAATCAATATTCAACAAAATTATGACCGGCGGTTAAAAAATATCCTTTAAAAAAAACAAGCAAAAACAAGAATTAAAAATTAACAAAAAATGAACTTAATTCTAAAAAATTGCTTTTTTCCTCTTTTTTTTTTCTAATCCTATGGTTTATTGATTAATTTTTATCCTTTCATAAAATATTTATGTAAGTGTATTTGTACCTTATAGAATGGCAAATTCATTCTGATTATTCAGAAAAAAAAAGAAAAAAACATTCATCTTTCCAATATACCCTAATATATCCTTATTCTTTATCATCGTATAAAAATAAAAATCAACAGGATTCTCGATGAACCTTTATTTTCTCTCATCGGTTTCATACAAATATATACACATAAACATAGAAAAGGGATGTTTTGTAATATTAAACCAAAAAATTTCCACCTAGATGTATAAATACATATAATATGTGTGTTTGTAGGTGGTAATTTGCCTTGGTATGATTTCCTTTCATTTTTTCCTTCCTTCTAAAATTTTCTGTTTCTTTTGCCGTAACGTTTGACCATGGAAACATATTGTGTTTATGTGTAGTTTGTTAGATGTATCCGGATGCTTACCAGTTTTTGTTGTTAATAATAAAGGTTTGTATGATATGGCTAGAATATACCATGACCTGAATCGGATAGCATAATATATAAGCTAAAAAAGTAAATAATAAGAAAAAAATTTTAATATCAACCCTATTCAATACAGAAAATTTGCTTCCCCCCACAACACTTAGAATTCAATTTTTAAACTAAGATTCGTAGTAACTCTTGCAATATTTTAAAATTCAACACAATATGCTGCCATTAAACGTTTTTAATAAAATTCTAATTTTAAGCTGAACACATCGCATTTTAGATTGATTTCAGAATATTGAAAAGAATGAAAATGACAAAAACTAACAAACCAACGACCAGATAAGAAAAACATGAAAGTTAAATTAAAAAAACGAGAAACTTTGAATCAGTAACAAAAGAAAAATTGAGAATAAAAAATAAATCATAAAATTAAAGAGTTACCAACCGGTATACGTAAAAAAATTTGAAATTAAAAACCCAACAAATTAAATAATTTCTTAGTCTCTAGCAATTCAAAATTTCGATTTCTTGTTTTCGTTTGTATTGTTGTCAGATTTTATGGAAAAGGATGAGAAAAATTTGTGTCTCATCTTCTGAATTTTTAATTCTCTTTTGTCAAAACTCTCTTACTTAGAAATCCAAAATTTTTTACAATAAGAGTACTTTTATGTATGAGTGTGCCAACTTTGTTTATTTTTTTTTGCAATAAACTAATTGTGTGAATATTTTTCTAATTTATGTATTTTATTATTTTATAGACTTGACTTTCGTCCTGACAAAGGTATATATGATTTACAAATACGAAATGTTTCGTATAATCGAGATAATGGTCGTTTTGAATGTCGAGTTAAGGCACGTGGTACGGGTGCTGATGTACATCAAGAGCATTATAATTTAACGGTTTTAACACCACCACAGCCACCATTAGTTGCACCAGGTGCTATAGCTGTAACAACAGAAGATAAAAAGACAGATTTAACATGTAGCAGTATAGGTGGATCACCTGATCCAATAATTCAGTAAGCATCTACATATTTATTTAACAGACAATAATTAAAGATTTTCAATTGTTTTATTATGAACACATAAAATATTATACGCAAAGTTTTACTAAATGAATTGTTTTATTGCTCTAGTTGGTATCGTGATGGAAGCCCGGTACCTTTACAAGCACCATTAAATCGAGGTGGTTCAAAAGATTTACACACAACTTCAACATTATCCGTAACACCAAGGCGTGAAGACGACGGTGCAAGATATAAATGTGTGGTATGGAATCGAGCAATGCCGGAAGGAGAAAAATTGGAAACTACTGTAACTTTAAACGTTAACTGTAAGTATTATAGTCCTTTATCTATATTTCTTGCTTAAAGAAATTATAAAATAATTTATAAACATTCTAAATTTTCACCTGTGCACAATATAATTTTTCTTTTTAAAAGTATCATTCTCTATAATTAAAGTTGGGCGGAATCTCAAATTTCATTTTATATGTTATAAAAATTTTATAATTCAATGAACATTTAATAATCTTTATTCTTTTTCACCTTAATTATAATTGCTCAACTTAAAACATCCTTTAATTAAATTTTACAGTTTAAATTATTTACAAAATAGCAATATTGGAGTGTCGTCTCACGTCTTACTCCTATACTTACCAACCGCATTGCATACATAAAGGAAGTTATGTGATGGCATAAAATTTCGCGTATCGATTTTTTGCCGGAAATGCGTTTCTCGTATTAAAGAAACGAAAAAAAAAACTATTTTTAGAGAGATATCAGTCGGTCCGGAATTGGTGCTAATCACATGAGCTAAATTTGCACTTTTGCTTATGTGCATAGAAATAATCAACCAATTTCGCTTCATGTTAAATATTTGAATTCAAGGTGTTAAATACATTTTTTAACCATATCTTAGCAATAAATTGGTGGATTTTGTTGAAAATTAAAATTTGAGTTCTGTTTGTGCAACACTTTCTCGATACCATAAAGAAGATTTACCATAAGAAGATTTACCAGAAGGCTCAGTGTAGGTTTTCATTTATTGTACGAAAGCTAACTTCCTCTTTTATCTATTTCAAAAACCCACCTAACTGTTGAAATATCTTTAAAACGAACTAATCCTTAAATGGAACATTTTGAGCAACCTTCCGCATATTTGTATAAAGTACATATTAAAAAAAAAAGACAAAGGTAAAAAATTAAATAATTTAGAATAGGGGAATGAACATAAATTCAAGAAGAAAAACTGTTTGTTTATATTATGCACGTGTATATCTTACACATTAAACATAAATATCCATACATACATACACATTAAAATATAAGTTGACTTGTTATCACCATTTTGCAAGCAGCAAAATGTCACACTAGTTAACTGACAGTCCTTACTAACAAAAATAAAACAATAAAAAAAATTTCTTTAAGTTGGGAGAACATTTATCTCCATTAAAGCCACATCTCCACATTTTCATATTCCTTTAATTCAAATGTGATGTGATTTTTTTTAGAAATAGTTTTATACACACACAAACTCCAGAACCTTAAATCGAGTATTTTTTTACATCACATTTAACCACAAAAAATATTTTTACCTAAAACGTCCTTCTCGTTTAAATTCTCTGCTTTATTTTTAATATAAATAAAATACAAATAAGAAAAAAAAAATAATTTTATTCTTCACTTAAATTCTTTCATCCTTCTTTTTACTTTTGTAAGGAAGATGGATTTTTATTTTATGATAACAAAAATAATGTTAAAATGTTAAAAATAAATTTAAAAATGAAGTGGGGCTGGTGGATATATGTAACAGCATTTTTGATAGTCTTTTAAAATGTAAACTATTAAAACTGTAAGTGAGTGAGTGAGCAAGGACATACAATCAAATTGGTTATCATAATAATAATTAGTAAGCAACAATTGAATGAATTTCAAGTTATTGTCCTACTTTTATTGAAGTTTATACAGCTCAGGTATTTAGTGCAATGAATTTGTGTCAACTCCTTATAATATCCTTTCCCTATGATCTTTGTCTAATTTAAATAACATTACTAACAAAAACAAAGAGATTATTTGGTGATCTTACCAAATTTCATCATAATGGAACGAATATATAATAAAGGTATTAGGGTTATCCCTAATTGCATTATTTAACTTAGATTTATAGGTTTTTGGAATGACAAAATTATAAATTTGTTAAAACTATCGAGACGTTATGATGTCAGAATAATTTATGGTAGAAGTAATTAATAATTCTGGTTATACAGGCAGAGTACTCGAAAATACTAAAAATAATTACGAAGCAGAATTTTAGAGTGTGTCTAGACGAATAAAACACATAAGAAACTTTTTTGTTTTTTCGTCCACTTCCCGGAGAAATTCACTCAAGTTTAACAATGTTGCATGTAACTCGACATACTTTCTATTTCAACACACACTTTTCTAGTAATGTATGAAAGGTGTCAAAAACGTGTACAAAGGTGTAAAATGTAAATATTCAGAAAATTAATTTCCAATAACTTTTTATAATCGTTTTTTTTGGTTACAATTATGGATTAACTTAGTTTTTTTTCTAAAAGTGGAAACTGATATTCAGTTTTTCATTTTAACACTTTATCCACCGGTTGTGGTTGAGGCTACCACTCAGTAAGTACCGGCTAAGTCGCGCCCGAATTTACTCCCAGTACCGGCTAAATTTTCACTATATCCATTGTGTTGTGCTTATTCCTTTTGGTTTAAAAAGTTATAAAAAGAACAACCCGCTGACAAGAACCGTCGACAATCAAAAACCGATTAATGGGCTACCGGTTAATATGCGCTGGCAATTGAAAAGCCGATAAATAGGCTACCGGTCTATGAGCGTAAGGAATCTAAAAGCCGATAAATAGGCTCTGTCGATAAAGTGTTTATATAACATTTGTAACAAAAATCTCACGAATAACAAATCTACGAAGCGAAATCTTTAAATCACATAGAAATTTAAATTTATAAATTAAACCTAGGACCCTTTAAAGCACAAAAAAACTAAATTCTTTAATTTATTACGTATAATCTCAAAATCTATAGTCCGTATGTATCGTATATAATATGTGTACTGGATTTAATATAAAAAATTTCAAAAATTTCTTTAAAAATCCGAAAGAATTTTTCAAAATAAAAACGAAATCGGTCCTTTTTTCCTTCAAAGAAGGTCAAAGTCTGAATTGCAAAAGTAACCTTAAAATAATTTCTCATTATATTCAAATAAGTAGAATAATAGTTTACTTTTAAAATTATACGAAAATAAATTACTTAACATTTATCTAAGTTGAAAAATTCACAATGTGAAATATTTCGCTTTGGTATACAAACATTTATACAAATATACGGGGTAAATATCTAAATAAAAATGTATAAAGTACATAAATAACTACAGTCAATCTTTATTTTCTCGACCACTTTCGTACTTTTTTCGTAATTTCAACTTTTGTTGTTAATTTTGACTTATATTTGTTGGAACAAGAATATTTGAACATGTAATATTATTGTTACATGATTGAATATCTAATGAATCGGGATGAATTTCTTAATGCTCAAATTATATTTGTTCCATTCAATAGCATAGTTAGAATATTCAATATTTCAATTTCAGGCATAGTATTTGAACTTAATTATTTTATTTGACCAGATATTTGTTTTCATAAATCTGGAACTTTCTGTATTAAACAAGTACCAACATAATTTACAATTCTAGACTAACCTTTTATATTTTTATATTATTTACGTTTATATATACTTGAACGTATATTTTCTTGTATGTTAAAGATATAAATGTGAACTTTTGTCATATGAGTTTTAAAAAAATTTGGTTTTTTTTTTTGCCGAACAAAAAACCAAAGTGACACTCGGGTCCCAAGTAATGATCTGTAACGAAAGAAAAAAGATCCACAGAAGAAAAACCCAATCTAAGGAAAACATTAAAAAAAAAAATATTTTTTATGTTAATTTATAGTTAAGTCGGAAAGGTTCAAAAATAATTTATAAGTAAAACTATTGATTTTTTTGAAAAATCTAAGGATTTGTTACAAATTCAACACGAAGAACTTAAAGTGGGATTTGTTTGTGTACTATTGAACAACGAGATTTTCTAAAATTTAAATAAAATACGAAAATAAATAAATTATTGTTGAAAAATCATTATTAAAAAAAATATATAGAATAAATGGCGTATAATACGAAATAAAGAACTTGGATGAAAATTTTTCGAATAATCGAACATGTAAAATTTTTTTTCCTTGCTTTTAAACAATCTTTAGTAGCGCGTCGGCCTTCTACCATGCTTGCTGAATTAATTTTAAACAACGATTGTTTCCCATAAGAAATATTACATTTTATTGAATTATATGCATTAATTATAAAAAAAGAGAAAAAAGTAGGTCTTCATCGTTGAACGATGAAGACCTACTTTCTTCATCCAAAATTATAGTCGATTTCTTCCAGTTTTCCCTCGAATTTTACAAAATTAAGTAAAAATCGTTTCTTTACTTACATTATGTAAAATTTTCTCTCATTATTTCTAAAATTAGAAACAATAACTAATAGCGTTAGTCTGAAGCTTCTTAATTAATTATGTACAAAAATATTAATCAACAATTTTTCTAAATTCTTCTATTTTTCCTGATCCGATCCGATGTGAAATTTGAATTTTTATTTTTCTCCGTAAAATCTAAGAAGTACAAACAAAATTTTTTTCGATATTGATTTGCTTTTTCCGAATTTCTCGAAATCTAAATAATTACATATTTCGAAAAATGAATGCACTTCTTAATTGTTATGTTGGGAACAATCGGGAAATTAATTTTTTTAATATTTAAAGAATTTATTTAATAAAAAGAGCTATAAAAATATTTTTTTATTCAAAAATTTCAAGTGTCACATGAAATTCACATGCATAGCACAATAGTGACAATTAATATAGCATGCAAAACACTTGATAATTTCATAAAGAAAATTTTTCTTCCTTAAAATATTTTTTGTATTTTTTTTGTTTCAAGATTAAGATGATTAAAAATGGTTTTTAATTAATAATTTGTTTAATGAAACAGAAAACAAATTTTTTTTATTGAGGAATTTTTATTTTTTTTTTTAAATCTTCGTTGTTCACTTAAAAAAAAAACTCTTCCTTTTATTTAGTTCTACTTAAGTGGGTTCAAGTGCATGTTCAACACATAAGTATTTCACTGTATTTTAATATGCAGGGTGAATTGTTGTATATCTGAATGTGATAATATCAAATCAATCTGTTCAAAAACATTTTTCATTATATTTGTTTACTTATTTTTCTTAAAGTGCA